AGCGCTGCAGGGACTGCTGGGCGCTGGGACACGGCTGGCACGGGCCGAGCTGCGGGGCGAGGCGGAGGTTGGCACTGCGTCGGGCCTGCCGGTGCCGCTAGTGTCAGGCTTTGCGCGGGGCGGGGGTGTGCGGCAGCTGCAGGCAGTGCGCGGGGAGCCGGCGCCCTGGGGGCTGCCCGAGGAGTGGGGCATGGCGGTGAGCGTGGCGCTGTGGGTGCCTCGTGCCACTCTGTGGGGGCTTGGCCTCTTCCAGGGGGAGTGGGTGTGGGTGCAGGGCCCTGTGGGCACTCACCTGGCAGCTGTTGGGGCCCTGCATCCCCCATGGGACTATCCCTGCCAGCAGCCAGGCAGCAGCCTGCCCAGTGGCAGTGCTGTGATCTCTGCTGCACTCGCCTTCAACCTTGGCTACGACCCTGCCACCAGCCAGGCCCACCTCACCATCCAGGTGCGTCCTTCTGCTGTAGTTTTGGGATGGTGGCAGCGGGGGAGGGGTGTCCAGGCACTGTGCCTGCTGGCTGGGTGCTGGGGTACAGGAGGTTACAAGCCCTGTGAAGGTGCTGCGTGGTTTGTGGGAGGGGTCAGGTTAGCATAGCGCTGTAGTTCTCAACTGGGTGCCGCAGCCCCCTGGGGTGCCTTATGATCCTTTCTGGGGCTGTCATGTACTGTTACGTGCAGACACAATGCCTGAGGTAAACTCAGATTTTAAATAGGACCCCTCAGGAACCGGTCTGCCCTGCTGTGGTCTTTCTGAGTTCTCTAGTAGAAGGTGACTTTGTTACTTTTCTGTAGTCAAAAAAATGAGTGAAAACTAAGAGGTGGCATTTTCTAAGTTGTGCCTTGAGCTTAAAAAGGTTGAGAACTGCTGGTGTAGTTAGGAAGAGTGCTGGAAACCTGGCTGAAGGTGCCCTGGTGAGAGAACAGGTGATGGGAGAGTTTGATAGAGAATTAGTAAATTGGAAAGGTTGGAATGGAGGGCGCACACACTTGTTGAGAAGTCCTTTTGCTGTGTGTGAATAGAGGGCTAGGAGACCGTGCAGGTCAGTATGGGAAGTCCCAGGTGATAACTCCAGCAAAAGTTAGCAGGAAATTTGCATTCGTTGCTGATCCTGTATGCACTGGTCACATCCCTGGCTCCCTTGGTGTAAGGAGGTGTTACCTTCCTCACGCTTATGGAAAGGGAGAATAAGTTTTCAGGGAGTCTAGAATGGGGTGACATAGGGACATGAATCCATGCGAGGCATTCGCAGTATGGAAGTTGAGGACAAGTGGGTCTTAACTTCTTACTTGTGCTATACTGCATTAATGCTGAACCAAGCTGTTGTCTGCTTTGTAGAGGTATGGAGAAGCTCTGGATACCGAGGAAACAAAAGGAAGCCAGTCCTTGTTATCTGTACCACCTTTTGCCAAGGAGCTACACGTAGAGATTATATCCTCACCAGCCTACAGCACCAGAGGAGTCTATGACCATATTCTCTACCAGCACTTTGAAACCCCGAGGTTAGCCTTTCAGCATAGGAAACTCATTCTTTCTGCATCCTGAATCTGGCTCACATTCAGGGAGGGAAGAATCAAAATACCACTCTTCACCCTTGCCTCTTAAGTGGATAGTGAGCAGTCCATGTACAAATTGCCTTTTGTGAAGTTAACTTGACCTGTTAGACTGGGGTGGACTATTATTCGGGCCTGTGCACCACAGAGTTTTGGGGTGCTGTTGCAGGTCAGGTCAGCAACCCCCTCCAACCCCCCATGCTCCTGTGCAACAGCTCACCAAACTTCCCTATGTAGGATAGAGTTGTGGGGAGCTGGTGTGGGCATGGGCAGCAGCTTCAGTAGGGGCATCTCAGCCGGGGCCCCTGCTGCCACTAGCACAGTCTCTGGGCCACCTTTCTACCCTGATGAGGGTCTCAGGCAAATGCCCCAATCCCCAGTGGGAACTTGCTGGCTGCAGCGACAACTGATGCTGGTGCCTGCCCTTTGCTGCTTCTAGTGAATGGGCTGGGAGCTGGCGTAAGCTGTGGAGATGTGTTGTAGGTGGAGGATGGTTTGGTGTTGGTCCTGTTCACGTCCTGCCCATGAGGAGTGGTGGCAACTGGTGCTGGGTGCCAGGGAAAAAGTGGAACCTGGTGGTGGGCACAATCACTGCTGCTGGGACCCTTCTGGCTGCAGCTGCCCAGAACCTGTGCTGCAGCTGCCTTGTGGCTCTTCCCCGCAGCCACCACCAGCATTATGTCTAGGTTACCCTGGGCCTGTGGGGTGGTGACAGTGGTGAAGAGCTGCAGGGCAGCCCTGGTGCAGGTTTTGGGTAGCCACAGCCAGAAAGGCCCCAGCAGTGCAAGTGCACCCACTGCCAGGTCCCACTTTTCCCTTGTGTCCAGCACCCCTGCACTGATAGCATGTCCCCTCAGCTTGTACCAGCTCCCATACTGTGTGCTGGAAGCAGTGCTGGGTGGGGACCAGCATCAGCTGTGAATGCAGCCAGCAGGTTCCTGCTGGGGATAGGGGTGTCTGCCCAGGTCCACAGGTAATGCTGCTGCATTAGCTGCAATCCTGGTTATTTGCCCCGATCCTCAGTAGGAACCTGCTGGCAGCATCCACAGCTGATGCCAGTGCCTACCTGGTGCTGCTTCTAGTGCATGGTTCTGAGAGCTGGTGTAAGCTGTGGATGGGGCCACTACATGCTTGTCTGGCACAGTGCAGCAGCCAGAGTCACTGGCTCCTCATGGGCCGGATCCCATGACTTTGCAGCTGGCTACCTGCGGGCCAGATACAATCAGATGACGGGCGAGATCTGGCCTACAGGACATATTTTGCCTACAGTGCAATCACAGTATGTTTAGAACATCGCACTGCAACATTGGCTTAAATCAGCAAGGTAACTTAATATAGGTACTGAGGACTACTTTATTTTTGGAGCGTGTTTCCAGTAAGCAGGGTCTGTCTGCTTTTTGAGCACTCAAATACTTAAGTTCCAATGTGTATCTTGAGAACTGGTCTTAATGATGTAGCCACCTGATCTCAGTGAGTATGCCTGAGGGTAGGGCTAGGATTCAGAGTGACCTAGAGAGATTGGAAGATTGGGCCAAAAGAAATCTCATGAGGTTCAGCAAGGACAAGTGTAAAGTCCTGCCCTTAGGACAGAACAATCCCATTCACCACTACAGGCTTAGGGCCATCTGGCTAAGCAGCAGCTCTGCAGAAAAGGACCTGGGGGTTACAGTGGACAGTAAGCTGAATACAAGTCAACCTTCTTCTGGTTGAGAAGAAGGTTGATGGCATACTGGGCTGCATTGGTAAAAGTGTTGTCAGCAGATCTAGGGGAATAATTATTTCCCTCTCTTCTGCATTGGTGAGGCCTCACCTGGAATACTGTGTCTAGTTTTGGGACCCCACTACAGAAAGGATGCAGACAAGTTAGAGAGAGTCCAGCAGAGGACAACAAAAATGGTTAGGAAGCTGGGGCACATGACTTCTGAGGAGAGGCTGAAGGAACTGGGCTTATTTAGTCTGCAGAAGAAAAGATGGGGGATTTGATAGCAGCTTTTAACTACCCGAAGGGTGGTTCCAAAGAGGATGGAGCTAAACGATTTTCAGTGATGGCTGATGATGGAACAAGGAGCAGTGGTCTCAAGTTGCAGCAAAGCAAGTTTAGGTTGGATATTAGAAAGCTTTCTCATGAGGAGGGTGGTGAAGCACTGGAACAAGTCACCAAGAGAGGTGGTGGAACCTCCCTCCTTGGAGGTTTTTAAGGCCTGGGTTGACAAAGCCCTGGCTGGGATGATCTAGTTGGGGATGGTCCTGCTTTGAGCAGGGGGTTGGACTAGATGACCTCGTAAGGTCCCTTCCAACCCTTATTTTCTATGATTCTCCCTCACATGGGATATCATGACCCTAACCTGTGTTTAAAGAAACATTTTCAGTCTCCTCCTTTGACTAATACCTTAAGGCTCACCTTCATAGCTGAGCATTTCCAGAGACTGTCCACAATTCTCCATTCTGGGCTCTGTTTATAACCCGCTCTTAAAGTTAATTTTTTACAAATCCAACGAGTAACCAACAGGCTGCATGTCATAACTGTCACAGATTCTTGCCCCCTTACATCTTTGCCCTCCCAGTGACCTGACTTTGTCATTGTGCCTTGCTGTATTATGTCTGAAGTATACTGTATTCTCTACAGGGCATGGAGTTCCCATTTAGCTGTCTGAAAGGTGCGAGTATTAAAAAAAAAATCATAAAAAGCCCATGAGTGGCTTTCCCAACTCATGCAGATAGCTTAATTGTTGTTAATGGGAGGTTGTATTGCTCTTCTGTTGCTGTAATTTTTTGGAGCATCAACATAATGTGACATCATTGAAGTAGTTATTTACCATGGCTATTGTTTTGTTACAGGTTGGTCCAGGAGGGGGATATCCTGTGTGTTCCAGCTAATGGACATCCAGAGTTCTTAGAAGAAAACTTGGATAAATTTCTTAGGTATGTAGTGATTTCCCAGTACTTTAAGATAGATATTTAAAGAAGAATCTTACTCTTCTGGTTTGCTCAGTGGATTATCTTCTGATCTGTCTTTGGAGTTCAGGGGTTTGTTTTGCTTTTTTTTCATCCAGAACCAAATAAATGAATATTTTTGTTGGATTTTTAGATAATTGTACAGTCACATGTCAGTGCTACAAAGATGGTATACCACTACTGGGAGAGAAACTGTTTGGAAGGAAAAAGAATGAAATAAAGACAAAAGTGAGAGAGAAGAGGGGATGCTCTATAGACTTTCAATGAAAGAAAAATGGATTGAAGTGGAAGCTTGGCTTTGTCTACACAAGGAGGTTATGCTGGTTTTAATTCCCCATGGGGGCACCAACTCTGGTACAGGGAGAGTGCTTCTGGTTCAGCTTATGCTGCTTTGGGGCAAATTTAAGGTAAACTGGAAAAAAGATTGCTTATGGGCAATTCAGTATAAGAGCATTCACGTGGGGCACTATACTGATGTAATTGTAGTGCTATAATTATACCAGTATAACTAGTAACTAGTTATACTGTGCAGTATAACTAGTAATAGCCACCTTTGTAAATGAGCCTTGCCAGTTTATGGTGTCCAGATGGTAGTGAGTTAGTATAGTTTATCTGGAAGGATGAAGAAATCCCAAAGTGAATAGTTGCAAAGTTTCGGTTGATCTCTGTGCATTTGTGCTTAACAAATTTTTGCATGACATCAAGTTGGGTGGAGTTGGAGGCATTCTGGAGGGCAGGGATCCAAAATGACTTGGATAAACTGGAGAAATAGACCTCAGTCAATCAGATGAAATTTAGCAAGGCAAGTGCAAAGTCATGGACTTAGAGTGGAATAATTTCATGCACAAATATAGATTGGGGAATGACTGGCTAGGCTGCAGTGCTGAAGAGAAGGACCTGGAGTGGACCATAAGCTGAATATGAGCTAACAGTGTGCTCTTGTTGCAAAAAAACAAAATAAAACTCAACACCATACTGGCTTGTATCAACAGGAATGTCACTTGCAAATCAAAGGAAATGATTCTTCTGCTGTATTCAGCACTGGTGAGGCCTCACTTGGTATACTACGCCCAGTTTTGGAATCCACACTTCAGGAAAGATGTGGTTAGACTGGAAAGAGTTAAGTGGAGAGAGACAAAAGTGATTGGAGGCTTGGGAAGCATGATTAATCAGAAAAGGCTGAAAGTACTAGGGTATTTAACATTTTTCACAAGCGAGACAAACCTTAAAATCAGAAATGGGTTGAGGGCTGCATAGAAAATCGTTCTAGTTCTATACTTTGGTGTATCCTAATATTAAGTTTTTAAAATCATATTAGAAGGGAAAATATACATTTTCTGTAATTTTAAGCTTATTAGTAGAAAGTACAATGTTCAGTATTCTATAGTGTTATTTTAAATTTGATAAAAATAACTTAAAGTTTAAAATTAAAATATTGTCCTGTGCAGCAGGGATTGAGGAGCTAGGAGCAACAGCCTCAAATTGCATCTGAGGAAATTTAGGCTGCAGATCAGGAGGAACTTTCTGACTATGAGGGTGGTCAAGCACTGGAAGAGGCTACCTAGAGAGATTGTGGAATCTCTGTCCCTAGAAATTTTCAAGAGCAGTTTAGATGGCTGCTTGGTTGGGATTGTTTAGTCAGGGGTGATCCTCCCTTGAGCAGGGGCTGGACTAGATTATCTTGTGAGTTCCTTTCAACCCTTCTTTATGATCTTTTGATCCTATGGAGGAGGACAGGAAGGCAGAAACAAGTCTCTCAATCAAGCCCTTAAGACTGGCAAATAAATTGGAAACATCTGGAACTCTTAGTACCCATGGGTGTGTGTTCAGAGCTTTCTTGCAACATAACAGTGCAGCGGACAGCAGTGCTGATTATATTTTGATTCTGGAATATACAGCAGTAGAAGTCTGATAAGGTCTTGTTCTTTAAATACCTGTTTCAAGGTCCTGGTCCTGAGGGGCTGTTGTAGCATAAAGAATTATAGAACTATAGACATAGTTCTCCTTGTTAAGTCTAAATCTAGCTTTAGACTTAACCTGTGTAACTCAGAGGGACAGCTTGGCATACTTGCACTCCTCATAGATGGGATCTATAGATGGTCTATCTATCTAGAAAAACTGGTTTGGGGCACACAGGAAGGAGCTGAAGTGATTAGTAACCAGCATTGTCCTTCATTACTAATGTTCCCTCAGCCTCAGGGAGCAGGTGTGAGCACTTGTTCTGTAAGGAGACTGCTGTGGCCTGCTGTGCCTGCCCAGAAGAATATTTGCAGCCCACCAGAATAGTTCCTGGGTTTTCAAACAAGCTTGCCTTGGTTCTTCAGCTCCAAATAAGTGCTGTGAGTGAAGTGTTCAGGGGAAAATGCATAAACATTGACGTTAAAGAGAAGAAACAAATTGGATGTTATGTTTAGCTGGTCTGGCAAAAATTTAACCAACTCAACCGACTACTTTTTAGAGCAGCTAAAATGGTCCATTTTAGCATTCAGACAAGCCCAGTGCAAGCTCAGTGGGTCTACTTCAGACTCCTGAAGTCCAGTGAAGTTAACATGCACTTATCTGTTGGGTGGTGGGGAGGGCATCAGGGAAAGGAAAAGGAAGCATATCACTTTGAGGGAGAGACCATACTAATGAGCCTAAGAGGAAACACTGAAAAAGCTCAGAGAGGGTGAGCAGAAGGAGATAGCAAGCCTATCTTGGTCTCAACTGTAATACTGCTGAGCCAGTGCTGTGAGAAGGGTCCCTGCTCCTGACGGGTGCTATGTCCTGAAACTCTCCTCTCTAGGCTCTGGCCTGCAGATTGAGTGAGAGTCTTGTGCCATTTTAGCACAGCCTTCAAATGGCGGGTATAAGCCAGAGGGCAGATTCACCAGCCAGCATGCTTGATTCATAGTCCATGCACCTTACTTTAGTGTGGGCTTATTGAACTTCAGAATATACATGAGGCTCAAAATAATACAGAGCACTTCAGGACAGAACCTCACTGCTAGTAGAAAGGAGAGTGGAGGCTCCTCTGCCCCTACTAGGTGTCTGTGGAGGACTCTTGGATCCATCCGTTGCCCCCAGGTCTTTCTTCCAAGTTAGCTGTTTCCAGGTTTATTCTGGGCCTGGCCACACATCTTGGTCACAGGCTCTTAGCATTCAGTCCCCTCGATCTGAAGGGACTGAGCCTTTGCAGGGGATTCAGGCATGTGTGGATATAATCCTGTTGCACATCAGGAGAAAATTAACATTAAACTGTCTATCCAGACAAAAACAGCAGCTGGTGCAGCTGTCAGCCTTGTGTCTCCTCCTGTTATGGTTTATTATTTGTGTAATGAAAAAATTTAAGGGCCCCAACTGCTTTCCAAGGACAAAGGATTCCTTCCTGCCTCTTGAGGTCTTGGCTGTAGGAATTTAGACTACTTGCTCTTCCTTTAGATGGCCAGAGCTCTACTTCAAAGTGAAGAAGATATTAGGAATGGTGGAAAGAGAGCAGTCTGTGGGGTTCCTAGCTGACACCCGGAACACTTCCCTCTACCTGGTAAGATGTCTGTGAGAAGGATGTAAAGAAAATGTGCAAGGCTGAGATTGCACTGTTGGGGTGGTAAAGAAGCCTCTGACTGATGGAGGAGACCTGTGGTTCCATTAGTTTTAAGGTGGATGCTCAAGGGGTTGTTCTGTGACTTGAGAATGTCCCTCACCCTGGTGGTTTTGGAAGGAGTGTTATTTTTCTGCTTTATAGATGGGTTCAACCAACAGTGCTATCCCATCTTACCCATGCCGTGCTGGCCATGAATTTTGGAGCAGTTTGTCTCCCCCTGGGCTCTCTGATATTGTGAAGTGGCTCTGTGATGCCCTGCGACCTCATCTGCACAATGGGTAAGTTCACACACCTCTTGGTGAGTTCTGTTTAATGTACCTCATGAGGTGTCCCACTGCATGGGGCTGTTTGTGTTGTGGCCTGGTTTGCTCTGTCATGCATTGTAGGATATTGGTTGTTTTTAGCTAGAATTGCACTTTTTGGAACCATTGGATCCATGACTGACTTGTTTTTGCTTGTAGAGATCCTGGGATTTGGAGAGCATGGTCTGTCTGGTGCGAGGGCTTGTTATTGTGCTGGTTAGGTACTCCTAGCATGAGTTGGGCCCAGCACACTTACTTCTTGGTGACAAGGATGGCTGCTTTTGTGTTCCAGGGGGATAGCACTAAATGGAGCAGGCAGCGTTCTCCTTTCAGGACCCAGTGGTGTGGGGAAAATGACAGCTGTCAGAGCTGCGTGTAGCTGCCTTGATCTCCATCTGTTCAAGGTAATTCTTCTAGTAGCATCACATTTTGGTGTTTGGTTGCTTAGGAGTCTTCCCTTGTGTAGAGAGTTCCAGGAATATTTCCCTTCTACCCTGCCTATCATTCCACATACATGTGCATGTCAGTGTAGCCCTGCTTTCTCTGAAGAATTAAGATTGTAACAAGGACTCTGTTCTAATAGGACTGAATTTTGTATACCCCCTCATTTTTATTGGATTTTAATTTAGTAAAAGTTGCTGTTCCAAGTTCTGTATCCAGGATGTTTTGTTAACATACAGATTTCTTTCTTTCTCTTTGTCTTGCTTCTGCCATCCTTTTCCCCAAGTTCTTATGGCTCAGGTACAGTGGTGAGGGAGGCATAGTCAGGTAGGACTCCTGGACTGCATTAAAACAAGGCACTGTCAAAGTTACCTACTGATGAGGCATTATGGGTATCAGGAGGTATTTCTCTTATAAGGCCCGGAGTTTCCCAAATTGCATCTCCTATCTGCATCAGAAGAGAATTGATTTGGTCAGGGTGGATTTGATTTAAATCAAATTGATTTTAAATCACTCATCAAGAAACCTTGATTTAATCATTGTTTTCTACAAAAAAGTGCATTTCTGTTGTTTGATATCCTTTATTCATTTAACTTCTTGAAACTTTGCACTTTTAGAGAGAGGTCAGGGCTTGACTGTGTGTACACAAACTTGCAGAGAGACAGTAGGGCTAATGGGTGGTTAATCAGGTCTGTTATCTCTCATCTTCATATACTGCTGTTAACAAGGATGTTATCTCTGGAGACGACAAACTCTCCCTGTGCCTGAAGAAGGGCATTTGTGCCCTAAAGCTTGCAAAGAACAATTTTTCCAACTATTTAGTTGGTTTTCTTTAATCATAGAATCATAGAAAATGAAGGTTGGAAGGGA